CACTACCCACCCCCATCGAACAAGACCTCCACCTCCTCTCACATCCCCCAGGACCTCCCCCAGATTCTTCGCGAAAGGAGCCACTCCGCCCCCAGGAGACCGAAGGACACCACAGCCCCCACGACGAGCACCAGGAAGGACGTCACCACCGTCAGGAACACCAAGGACGCGGTCTCCAGGGCGCCGCAGTCGTTGGTGGTCACTTTTACCTCCAGCCAGAACTTGGAGAGGAGGCCAGACGAACCGAGGTCAAGGATGCTGTGGAAGAAGATGGGGATGAGTGAAGAGGAGACGGAAGGAGGGAGAGAGGGAAGGAGGGATGGAGGGAAGGAGAAGGAAAGAGGGTGAGTGAAGAGGAGACGGAAGGAGGGAGAGGGAGAGAGGGAAGGAGGGAAGGAGAGGGAAAAAGGGTGAGTGAAGAGGAGACGGAAGAAGGAGAAGGAGAGAGGAAGGAGAAGGAAGAGGGAGAGAGGGAAGAAGAAGGAAAGAGGGAGAGGGAGAGGGGGAAGGAGGGAAGGAGAAGGAAAGAGGAGACAGGGAAGGAGAGGGAAGAAGGGAGAGGGAGAGAGGGAAGGAGGGAAGAGGAAGGAAAGAAGGAGAGGGAAGGAGAAGGAAAGAGGGAGAAAGGAGAGAGAGGGAAGATGGGAGAAGGAGAAAGGGACGGAGGGAGAGGAAGGAGGGAAGGAGATGGAAAGAGGAGAGGGAGAGAGGGAAGGAGAAGGAAAGAGGGAGAGAGGGAAGGAGAAGGAAAGAGGGAGAGGGAGAGAGGAAGGAGAAGGAAAGAGGAGAGGGAGAGAGAAAAAAAAGAAAAAGGAGAAAAAATTAGAATAAAACCCACAGCAAACACCCAAACACCACACACAGACCAACTCACACATTGTTGAAGAGGGGCGCGAGGGGAGAACCCTTCGCCAACACGAAGGAGGCGCGATCAGTGAAGTACTTCTGAGGGAGAAGGTAGCTCTCGCAGTCCCCCTGGTAGTTCAACGTGTGGAAAAGTTCCCACACAAGAAAGGCATATCTCTCGCGGTAGATTCGTCGCATCCCTTCTTCTGTTGAACCGACGGTGTCCTCGGCTTTGAGGCTTTGGTAGATCGACCGGTAGAGGGGCGTGGTCGAGCTCTGGAGGAGGAGGGGGGGGTAGTAGTGGTGGTGGTGGTGGTGAGGAGGAGGAAGAGAAGGGGGGGGGAGGCGGAGGAGAAGGAGGAGGTGGTGGTGATGAAGATCAGGGTAATGGTGATGATGATGATGATAATGATAGTGGTGGTGGTGATGATGATGATGTGGATGTGGATAATGAGGAGGAGGAGGAGAATAATGAAGAGAACGATGATAACAATGAAAGAAATGATAATGGTGATGATCATGCTAATAAATAATGAGGAGAATAATGATAACAATGAGAGATATGATGATAATGGTGATGATCATAATAATACCAATACCAACACCAACCAAAGTGACGTCCACCCCCCCCCCCCCAAACACCCGCCCTCAACCCATCCACCAGACCTGAAAGATGCCATCCAGTGCCGTCTCCTGCTCGATGCCAAAGGTCACCGAGGGGTCCCTGTGGATGTCCTCCAGGCCCTCGTGGGGGGGGGGAGGGCTTGCCAAAGGTCACCGAGGGGTCCCTGTGGATGTCCTCCAGGCCCTCGTGGGGGGGGGGGGGGGAGGGCTTGCCAAAGGTCACCGAGGTAGATAAATACGGCCGTGAAGAATCTCATCTTTCTTGATTTAGCAGACGTTTCGAAGGATTACATGCCTTCATTATCAATGCTGTAATTAACCAGATAGAAGGGTCATTAGACTATGTAAAAATATGAAGTTATTGGAAATCACTGCCCATCATTCAGTTTTTACGTTTAACGATTGCCTATATGCACAAACAGATGGCGTAGCTATGGGCTCTCCACTTGGCCCCTCCTATGCTAATGCATTTCTATGTCACCATGAGAAAAGCTGGCTAGATAACTGCCCGCCTGAATTCAAACCCCTACATTATCGTCGGTACATCGACGACACTTTCCTGCTCTTTAAGCACCCTTCACACATTAATCCTTTTGTAGATTACCTAAATGCCAAACCCCCCAGCATCAAATTTACCTGTGAATTGCAAATGGACAACCAATTGCCATTTTTAGATACTATGATCACTAACAACAATGGTATCTTCCAAACTAGCATTTACCGTAAACCCACTTTCACTGGCCTCGGCCTACATTTTCTCAGTTACATCCCGTATATTTACAAAATCAATAGTGTGAAAACTCTAATAACTAGAGCCTACAATCTATGTAGCACCTGGAATGCCTTCCATAATGAACTGTTATTTCTGAAAAACTTTTTTATTACTAATGGGTACCCATTACAGTTGTGTGATAAAATTACTAAAACCTTTCTGTGTAAGAAATTCACCAATCAACAAATTGTCTCCACGGTTAAAAGAGACCATAGATATGTTAAACTACCCTACATGGGTGATCTAAGCTTTGAAATCAGAAAACGGTTAAAAACGCTCTTGCAAAATAATTACCCCCAGATTAAATTTACCTTTGTCTTTAGTAACAACAACACAATAGCTAAGTTCTTAAAACATCCTTTAAATCACAGCTCTGACTTATGTTCTAATGTGGTATACTTATTTAACTGTCCTAGCTGTCAAGCTAGGTACGTGGGATCCACCTCACGATGGCTATGTCACCGCATCTCCGAACATAAAGGCAAGTCTTTCAGGACTGGCCTCCCGCTGAGCAAACCATCCTTCTCGGCAATAAGAGAGCATTCCCAGTTACACTCACACCCTTTTTCTACCACAGATTTTAGTATTTTGTCATCTCACTCCTCCCGCCTAGAACTCATCACCTCAGAATCCCTCCTGATACAAAAGATGCAACCAGAGCTAAACAACTTAACCAAAGCGACCCCCTTGTTTACCCACTAGACTGCTCATCTCCATAAACACCTCTTTTTTTGGTTAGTTTAACATTGATTTTACGTCTCTAAATATGTTTTATATATTTTTCTATTGTGTTCATATATTTTTTGTATATATTTTTCCGTTAATATTGTTTATTCTGTTACATTTTTGTAAAACCAGAACGCCTTCATATTTTTACATAGTCTAATGACCCTTCTATCTGGTTAATTACAGCATTGATAATGAAGGCATGTAATCCTTCGAAACGTCTGCTAAATCAATAAAGATGAGATTCTTCACGGCCGTATTTATCTACCTCTTCATACTAACGATTCGCCGCCTTACTGGCAAACCCATTACGGAATATATATATATATATATATATATATATATATATATATATATATATATATATATATATATAATATATAATATATACATACATATACATACATATATACATATATATATATATATATATATATATATATATAATATATATATATATATATATATATTTATATTATATACAAAAAAAATTGAGAGAGAGAGAGAGAGTCAGTCAATAACAATGTTGTGAAAATAATGGGACACTGTTAATTCACGACTTACCATCTGATACCATTTCTCCTTCAAGTAGCTGTCCTAGGCCCTCTACCATAACTGGGTGAATCAAAGAGGACATGAGCTCTTCAGCTGTTGTAAGCTCTGGCTGTTTATAGTGTCCACCACCTAAAAAAAATATAACAACATTATTTTTTTTTCCTAAGTAATAACATAATAATAAAAAAGAATATTAAGTTAACCAAAATATGCTGTTGTTGTTTTCAAATATAAATCTTTATGCACCATTATATCAATTGTAAGACAATTGCTGGAGCAATAGAAATAATGTGCACATATATGATTATACAGTTGCCTTATATCATGCAAACATTATGTGTGTCAATACAAATAATATATACATGTGGATTCAAATAGCCTATAAATCTTACTGGCAATTTAACTGAAGGACAAGGTGTCATTGTGGTTGGATTAGCAAGCATTGCAAAAATAATTTAAGTTAAGGCAAGTTTCAAATTATTTCAAAAGGGAAACAAGCCAAATACCTAAATTAAAAAATATATATATTTTTTTAAAGACACTTCCAACATATTTGCCCGGCGCTTTAATGTCTGCTAAACTAATGTACAACTCATACTCACCAGTTTTCGTTCGTTCTTCATTCCTCTTTGCCAGTTTTTTCTTCGTGGCAGACTTGAAGACGGTCAACTTGCTTGACTTCACCGGCAGTCCTTTGCGAGGTGCTGACAGCGTCAACCCTTTCTGCTACGGTGTTCCAGGCCGCCTTCTTCACCTTACTAGTCACCGTCGATGAAAATGAGCCCTCTTTAACCCTCTGCCTCTTCTGTACTTCACCATAGCGTGCAGCTCTTCGTTAGAAAAATTAGGGCGACGTTTTTCCCCGGATCTTGTGAGGCCTCCATTGTTTATGTTTTGAGGGAGAACTGCTGTGATTGGTCGAAAATTCCGAGGTTTACGCTGATTGGTCGCTTGAGTCGTTCTTATAGGAAATAAAGGCCTACGATGCGTAACGATAGAAAATACTGTCGCAACGGGGCCGGATTTACTAAACTCTCTCGTAAACGCTGTCTCTCGTAACAGTTACGAGAACTATCAACGATTTCCCAACTAGCGACGTTACTACCCATTTTCAAACGCCAAACAACGAGAGCGCAGGGGTCTCGTAACCGTCACGACCGAATTTTCTATCGCTCGGTGTCGTAGGGCTTTATTTCCTAAAAGAACGGCTCGATCGACCAATCAGCGTTAGCCTGGGTAAAAATCGACCAATCACAGAGCGTTATCCGCTGGACTGACGCAACACTAATTAGTTTTACTTAAAATAGTTTCTATATCACCTTTTATTGATCATTACCACCTTTATGAATAGTCTTATGAATTCTGATACCTATATATGTATATAGCTAAGGCTATACCCATCTCTTTATCTCTCTCTCTCTCTCTCTCTCTCTCTTTCTCTCTCACACACACATACACACATACACACACACACACACACACACACACACACACACACACACACACACACACACACACACACACACACATATATATATATATATATACATATATATACATATATATATATATATATATATATATATATATATATATATGTTAGATACAGTATGTTGGTACAGTCTTAATCCAAGGGTATCAGAATAACTTCGTTGTAGTTCCACATTTATTTTCGTTACAGCCTCGTCACAAGAAGCATTCGAACTGAAAACAACAAGCCCGTATAAGAAACCAATAACGCACAATAGAGATGAACATGATTTTGAATATAAAACAAAAGAAAATACAGGAGATGCAAAATCTATATAAGAAGAGCATCAGCACATTGCGAAATATGAAAATCAGAATTTGACAAACATTATCCTATTAATGAAAGAAATAAAATCTTCACAAGGCATTCCCATTTAAAGCAAAACATCAGAAAATAAAAGGGGTTGGCTGTGGAACAACTGCCACTGAACATGTCACAAAACACTACCGTTGGGGGGCCGCGGCGCTGAACAACAAAGTATAATAACCCTAAATATACACACTGTTAACACTCACTTTGTATCCCAATAAAGACTTCTTCATAAAATCCACTCCGCGGTCGTTGTCACTCAAAATAAAACGATGGAAAAAGGCATTTGGCCCACCCAGTACAGACAGCAGTTGCCTTGGTTTATCTTTTGGCGGAAAACTGCAAGAGTTGACGCAGCGATATCGCACGCAAAGGAGTATGGGTAGTGGCGCGCGGTTTGAACGACTTTCCTTGGATACTTACCAACTAAATCGGATTTTCTTTCGTTTTAAGAAATCAAATAGTTAAAATTGCGCAGTACACACACACACACACACACACACACACACACACACACACACACACACACACACATATATATATATATATATTATATATATAATATATATATATATACATATATATACATATATATATATATATATAATATATATATATATATAATATATATATATATATATATACATGTGTGTGTGTGTGTCTGTCTGTTTGTGCGTGTGTGTGTCTTATACATATATATTATATACAAACATAGATAGATAGATAGATAGATAGATAGATAAATAGATAGATGGAAAGATAGATAGATAGATAGATAGACAGATAGAGATGGATAGATATAGATATAGATATAGATATCGATATTTGTATGCATATTCATTTATGTATATATGTATATATATACATATATATATATATATATATACATATATATATATATATATATATATATATATATATATATATATATATATATATATATATATATATATATATATATATATATATAAATAATGCAAAAACATTTGAAAAAACAAGGTACAAAACAATAGTAACATGCAAAAGAGGCAAACTAACCATTCGACAGTATTGATGGTTATTACATGGTGAACAGGGTGGTTGCAGTGGTTGTGCCATTAAGTTCTGGGTTCATGGTAATGATGTGGAGAGATTCAGCTATGATCAAGTCAAATCTGTTAGGGTGGGAGGTCAAGATTTTGAAATCAGTAGCGTTCAACGGGTGGTTGTAAAAGTGAGAGTGCTCTCTGATTGCTGAGGAAGATGGTTTGCTCAGTGGTAGGCCAGTCCTGATAGACTTGCCTTTATGTTCGAGAATGTGGTGTTGCAGCCAACGTGAGGTTGAACCCACGTACCTAGCCTAACAGCTAGGGCAAGTAAAAAGGTAGACCACATTTGAACATAATTCAGAGTTGCACTTTTTCCTTTGTTTTAAAAAATTGCCAATTGAATTGCTATTATAAAAAAAAAAAACCGGAAACTAACTTGAGGATAGCACTGTTTGAAGATCTTGTTTAACGAATTTCTGATTTCAAAACTAAGACTGCCCATATATGGCAATTTGATGTATTTGACATCTTTGTTAACCGTGGTAAGTACAGGTTTGTGTGAAAGCTTCTGGCTAAATAAGTTATCAAAGACTCGATAAAATAGGTTGGATGGGTACCCATTCGAGATAAAATAATCCTTTAAATACATAGCTTCTGTGTGGAAATTGGCCCACGTGGAACAAATGCTGTAAGCTCGGTTAATTAGTGTTTTCAGGCTATTAAGCTTATAAATGCGAGGTAAGTAGCTTAGAAAATGAAGTCCGAGGCCAGTGAATGTTGGTTTCCTATAGGTGTTTACAGAAAAACAACCATTATGAAATGTAACGGTAGTGTCTAAGAATGATAGTTTATTGTTTTGTTCAGCTTCACAGGTAAATCTAATGTTGGGGTGTTGTGAATTAAGATAAGACATAAAAGGATTAATGTGAGAGGGGTCACTGAAAAGCAGGAAAGTGTCGTCCATGTATCGACGGTAATAAATTGGTTTGAAGCTCGAAGGGCAGTTATTGAGCCAAGCTTGTTCATGATAACAAAGGAAAGTATTAGCATAACAAGGGCCAAGTGGTGATCCCATTGCTACGCCGTCAACTTGAGTGTAAAGGGATTCATTAAAAATAAATACTGAATGGTGAGCAGCGATGTCTAAAAGTTTTCCATAGGTTGTTTTGTCCAGACCAAACTCATTTAGAGTCAAAGTGGTAGTTTTGTTAACTATTATTTCTGTTGTTTCTCTTAGTGGGACATTTGTAAATAGTGATTCTATGTCAAAACTGGCCATAGTAACAGGGCGTAAGGGTTTTAGTGAGCAAATTTCTTTGACAAAAGCAAAGGAGTTGTCTATCGTATACTGACTGATCGTTAGTGGGGAGATTATCTTCGCTAAGAATTTGGCAATGTTGTAGTTGAAAGTACCAACTGCTGAAATGATGGGCCGAAGGGGATGACCAAGTTTGTGTATTTTAGGCAAGCCATATAAGAAACCAGGTTTTGAGCCAGAAGTAGTGAGAAGGTTATAAGTGGCTTCCCCAATATATGTTTTTATAGGGCGTAACAACCTATTCAATTTGTCTTCTAGCTTTAAAAGATAACTAGCAGTATCACAGCTAATTCGTTTAAATTTAGAGCTATCATCCAGTATGGACTGTAGTTTGTTTTGGTAATCGTCTTTGTTAAGGATAATGATTCCCCGACCATTATCTGGTCTGGTAATGATGATATTATCATCGTCCTTTAAAGATTTCAGTGAAGTAAAGAACGAATGATGTTCATGGTTGTTCTTGATATAATGTTTAAATTTCTTGAATGTGTTGTTAGCCACAATAGAGATGGTACTTGTGATATGGTTCCACCTTTCTTTATAAATATTACAGTTTCGGATGGTATGACACAGTTTTTCAAAGCAAAGAAAAAAAAAGAACTAAAGAAAAAGGTTCCTGCCAGCTACAAAAAAACTGGAGGATGACATCTCTCTCTTTAAATCCATTGTATCTCCCTTTGATGCAAATTGTTTACTGTCTATCATTGATAAAAATGTTAACAACAAATTAAGCAATGTTGACTTCAGACACTGCAGAAAGTTACTAAAATTAGGCATTGATCTGAGTAAAAAGGTTGACAAAAACAAAATCATCTTCAACTTTTCTGATAAGATATTATCAAATGATCAAAAAGATCTACTCTCTTTAGGTATGGATTATTGTATGCCACCTAACACCATTAACCACACACATTTTTTTTCTTTGCTTTGAAAAACTGTGTCATACCATCCGAAACTGTGTGTGTGTGTGTGTGTGTGTGTGTGTGTGTGTGTGTGTGTGTAAGTGTGTGTGTGTGTGTGGGCGTTTATGAATATATATTAATTTAAGCATATATCCGTTTACACACACACACACTCACACACACACACACACACACACACACACACACACACACACACACACACACATATAATATATATATATATATATATATATATATATATATATATGTATATATATAGATATATATATATGTATATATATATATATATATATATATATATATAGAGGAGAGAA